AGATCTTCTTGGGTCCTTTTGGGTTAGTTGTTCTGAAGGTTCGTCTAAACTTATGTTTTTCAACATAAGGTTTATTCTGACTAGCCTTAGATTTAAACACATGAATGTTCTTTTCAGAACGAGTGTGCTCAATATCATTCAAGTGACCAAATTTAAAATGGGAATATAAAGGAGTCTTCTTGATGATAATTTTATCAACAGGTTTTGGATTTAAATCCTTTCCAGAGGAAGATTTATATCCAATTCCTTTTCTGTTATTTATGCTAACTCCATAGATCATAGAAGCCATTTTGCTTCTGTCTATGCTTTTAGCAAGGAACTTCTGAAAGCTGTAGTCATATTTTTCCAAAATATTTTTGCATTCAGACTCAGTTTCAGAATCAAAGTCTTGTTGAGCTAATTCAAAATCATTTTTCATTTTTAAATTCTTTTCATTTAGCTCAGTCACTTCTGATTTGAGAATATTATTCTCATATACAAGATTGCTTTGACGCTCCTTGTATTTGAGCTTAATATTGTTATAGCTCTTCAGAACCTCTGATAACACTTTGATAAGTTCATCCTTAGTGAGTTTAGCCATTACCTCTTCAGCGTCAGAGTCAGATTCAGATCCTGAAATTCCTTCCTCCTGATCTTCTATGTCTGCCATCAATGCTACGTTGGCACATTCCTCTTCTGACTCAGATTCAGATTTAGATGTATCTGAATCATCCCAGGTTACCATTAGAACCTTCTTCTTCTTATCATATTTTCTTTTAGGCTTTTCTTTCAACAACTTTAGACATTCATTTTTGTAATGCCCAGGTTCTTTACATTCGTAGCAGACAACCTCCTTTTTGCCAGATCTTCTGTGTCCAGAAGATTCTTTTCTTTGGTCAGGCTTCCTGAAGTTTCTAAACTTCTTTCCTTTATGCTTCCAGAGTTTGTTTATTCTTCTGGACAACATGGATAATTCATCTTCATCTTCAGATGAGGATTCTTCAGAGCTTTCCTCTATTACCTACAATGCTTTAGCAGATTTATTAGATTTTAAGGCAATTGACTTACCTTTCTTTTGAGGCTCATCTTCCTCAAGTTCAATTTCATGACTCCTCAGTGAGCTGATTAGTTCCTCCAAGGAGATCTTGTTCAGATGTTTAGCTATTTTCAGCGCAGTCACCATAGGTCTCCATCTGGTGGGTAAGCTTCTGATGATCTTCTTCACATGATCAGCATAGGGGGTTTAGTGTTGATTCTATCCCTTTCTTCATATTTGTTGTTAATGTTAAATATTGAAGTATCAGCCATAGTAACAACCAAATATATATCAAAGTTTTTCTCACTGGATCTTTTCTGTCACTGTAAAGTGGTAGCACACACAGAACCGGAGCTCTGATACCAACTGAAGGTGAAAAAATACTTAGAAGGGGGGTTGAATAAGTATGAAGATAAAAACTTAGAAGTAAAAACTCAAATATTTTTATCCTGGTTCGTTGAACTCAACTACTCCAGTCCACCCTATCTAGAGTGATTTGCCTTTCTCAAACAAGGACTTAATCCACTATTTAATCAACTGATTACAATAGTAAGCACTAAGAACGATTGTTCAAAGTCTTCTCAAGAACTACTGATCCTAACTGGATCTTCTTAAGGTTCTCTTACAATCAAATGTAATAATAAATACAAGTGTTAAAAATGCTTCTAATAAAGCTTTATCACAACTGTGATTTTTCACTTAAGATTAAGAACAATGAAATAATTCTAGCAAGAATATATGAGTTGTATGAGAGCTTTTTAATGAATTCTTTTCAAGTGTTTCGTCAACTGAAGAAGATGAGTGGAGACTTGCTTTTATAGGCACAGTGATCCAAGAGCTTTTCACGTTGAGAAGAGTGTACCAAAAAGGTCTGAGTCTTTTTTGTCTTCACATCATGTGACCTTTCCTAGAAGAAGAATGCACAGAGAAATCTTTTTTGTCTGTGTTCTTGTGTCTAGCATAAATAAGGAAAGAGTCGTTTGGTTATTCCAACAGACATAATCTTTGAATTCTTCTTCAACAATTTTCAGCAGGAATCATCAGAGTCTAATTTGGTCAGAGCCTTCTGATGTTCATCAGAGTTTTGCTGAATCAGAGTCTTTGCAGCAAGTGTGCTTTCAGCGTGTATAAGTTCAAAGCAGAGTTATGAGACAGATCCTCAGTACTGCCAGCGTTAGTACTATCAGAGTCTTCTGAAGTAACTATGCTTGAAAACTCTTCATACAGAATTTTTCATTGCTTTAGATGCTTCTGGCTTGCTTCAGATTCTTCTGTAGCTTCTGCTTTAGATCCTTCTGGAGGCAGCGCTCAGAATCTTCTGGTGGTAGCGTTCAGAATCTTCTAAGAGATGCTTCTGACGCTTCAGAGCCTTGCATATTTCTTATGTTCAGATCTAATTTGCTTCTGAAGTAATATTTACTTTAACATCTGCAGCAAACATTCTCAAGAAAATTTTAGAGTATATAATTCTTAAATACAAAATTTCATAATAGTTATCATCAAAACATAGAGATATTATTAAGAACCAATTTGTGTTCTAACAAGTATAAACATATTTCTAAGTCAAATGAATTCTCTAACATGTGAAATCGTGGAGACACATTTGATCTTGTTGAACCCATATATCCTGCTGTGTTTATTTTAAAGATGATGTCGATGATAGCTTTTGGGCCATGCTATCCTATTTGCCTGATGCTTCCGTGTTAAATGTCTCATCTATCTAAATAATTAAATTTGTTTCATCCGCGTAGCGCAAATATGAATCTAACATGATCAAATTGTTATTTTGATTTGGCCTTTTAGACTCATGCCATTATAAATATCAAGTATAAGAAAGTTTAAATTATGATTATATAAATTTATTATTTTGAATATTGATTATTTTTTTTATTTGGTTATATTAGATTATTTAAATAATTTATTTTATAATATTTTCTTAATTTACCACATATCTTAGAGGTTGAAAATGTTGGCATGAAAATAAAATCATATTTAAACACTCCATATTAGGGTGAGAAATCAATCATTTTATATATTTTAGAGGTTGAAAATGTTAGCATGAAAATAAAATCATATTTAGACACTCTATATTAAGGTAAGAAATCGATCATTTTATGGCAGATGAAGACCTAAAACACCATTTTGAACAAAATCACGAGGGATAACATAAGTTCGAATTGTGTTTGTATCTAAATCGATTTACACAGGATTTAACTATTCAGTTTAACCGAGTTGTTTGTGTCACACACACACGCGCGCGAGCTTACACACTCACACACACACAAGTCAATGAAAAATATATGTACCTTAAGTCTTACGCAAATGGAAGTATATGTGTGTGTGTGTGTGTGTATATATATATATATATATATATATATATATATATATATATATATATATATATATATTAGTTAAATAGTCAACAAGCTTTGCTCTGGAACGTTCAATGAGCTTCATTTATTGGGCCAATTGGACGATCTAGAATAATTTTCTTTAAGGCTTGCCATGTGTTGAGTGAGAAGTTTTGTTTGAATTTGTGTCGGTCGTATAATGTTGGGTTTATCACCAATAACCATGGAAAATTCTAGGATTTGGTTGCAAAAAAAAGGGACACAGACGCATTAAGTGTTAGTCTTATCGTCGCATCGCTTAATATGACTTGATATACATGGCTCTAACTTCGCAGGCTTGGGCATGCCACTTTCTCTAGAATGTTTGAGTGCATTCAAGTGTCGTTGTATTTCTAAGGTAAAATTTGAGTGTTTCTTTTCGTCAACTTATTTTCATGTAACCTGAATTTTTTATTGGTCTGCTTTGCTTTATCATATAAAGACAATTTGACTTTCAAATAAATTGTTTTGTTCCTATTGTCCATTGGAATTTGCTGCTATTTCACGACTTGCTTCTCTTACAAACTCTGACGACCTCTTGACCTTCTTGTCTCCTAGCTTAGTTTGGGTCTTGTATCTTTTAAGTCACCGTGTTCATCGAGCTTGCTTGCTATTCTTGCCCTTTTTGACCCATTTTTCTTTTCTCAAGTATCTTTCTATTTTCTTATTCACACTTTGTACCTTTCCTTTGTCCTATAATAGCCAACTTAAGGAATGTACTGGTTAGAAACATCTCAATTTTTTGGAGGTTCTATGTTGGTTAGTCACAATTTAACTATGAAAAACAATTATAGGCTCTATTTAGATATAGTTTAACCTTCAGGAATTTGAGACCCTGTGCAGTAACCCATCTTGCACGTCCTCAAAGACAATCCTAGTACATGTGAATGTAGCAAATGAATCTCATAGACTCCTCCTCATCATTTGAGTTTAACCACCCAAATATTTTAGATATTTTTCATGCTAATCTTTTAGAGATTAACTAATCTATCTATCACTTAAATGTACTTAGGAATAATCATAGTTTTGGTCTGAATTTTCCGGAGAATGGTAACAATCTTAACACAAATGATGTCGATGTCTACATCAAATTTCTTATTTAATGCACCAATCGCTATTTGAATAGATTATCTCAAACTCATACCATTATAATAATCAAATATAAAAAGTTTAAACTGGATTCGTATTTTTAAATAAAAATAAATCTGTGAATTTATTTATTTTTGAATATTAAATTTAGTTTTTACTTTTAACTAAATCAAATTAGTTTATTTTTTAAAAATCAAATCAAATAATATTTTAAAAATAGTTTTTTTTAACACTTATATGAAATAACTTGTTTTGTAGCTCTAACGTTGAAAATGCTGTCATGTAAACAACAATAACATTGAAGTAGTTGAAGTATCTAGTAACTGCGTAAGCTCAAAATCTAGAATTGAAGTAGTTGAAGTATCTGGTAATGGCTTTATACTCATACAAATGATTCATCTTTCAATTTTTCATCATTCAAGGTAACCCTCTCCAAACCCACCTTTTCCCCCTTTTTGTTTCTTATTTTCAGCATAAAGTTTGTACCTTTATAATCAATATTTGATATGGACAAGAGTATTTATACATTCTTAACTATACACCGTTGGGAGTCCCTTAATCGCATGAATTATAGGTTAGGTTCTCTTAGACCTGTTCATGGAATCTTAGCTTTGAAATTCCTCAATTGGCTCATCAAACAACCTAATTTGGAGATCAATCACTTAACTCATATCTTTTCCACTACCACCCATATACTTGTTAGAGCTAGAATGTACACTTTTGCTAAAACAACTTTGAAACATATGTTACATATGCCTATTGGTTTCAACAATGTTTTTGCTGCTTTGATGGAGACATACCCTTTTTGTCATTCAAATCCTGCTGTTTTTGACCTACTCATTAGGGTTTGTTTAAGGGAGAACATGGTTGGGGATGCTGTAAAGACTTTTCACTTGATGGGTTTTCGAGGGTTCAACCCTTCTGTGTACACTTGTAACATGGTGCTAGCTTCATTGGTAAAGGACCAGAAAGTTGATTTCTTTTGGTCCTTTTTCAAAGATATGCTTGCCAACGGGGTTTCTCCTAATGTTGCCACTTTCAACATATTGTTGAATGCTTTGTGTGGACGTAGCAAGTTTAAAAGCGCTGCATTTCTCTTGAGGAAAATGGAAGAAACCGGGCATTTTCCAACTGCGGTCACTTACAATACTTTGCTTAATTGGTATTGCAAGAAAGGGAGGTGTAAGGAAGCTTCTGAGCTTATTGACTCCATGGTATCTAAGGGTATTTCGGCTGATGTTTGTACATATAATATGTTGATAGATAGTTTGTGCAGAAAAGGTAGGAGTGCAAAAGGTTATTTAATATTGAAAAGGATGAGGAAGAGTATGGTGTATCCTAATGTGATCACATATAATACTCTTATTAATGGATTTGTTAAGGAGGGGAAGATTGGAGTTGCTACAAAAGTTTTTGAGGAGATGTCACCATGTAACTTGTTACCAAGCAATATTACTTACAATACTTTGATTTTCGGTCACTCTAGCAATGGCAACATTGCGGAAGCCTTGAGACTTTTTGATGCGATGGTTTCACATGGTTTGAGACCTAATGAAGTGACATACGGGGCTCTTTTAAATGGGATATCCAAGCATGCTGAATTTGGATTGGTTTCCAGTATTCTTGAGAGAATGAGGATGAATGGTGTTATAGTTAATCATATTAGTTATACAACAATGATCGATGGATTGTGTAAGAACGACCTGCTGGAAGAAGCTGTACAGTTGCTGGAGGATATGCTAAAAGTTTCTGTCACTCCTGATGTTGTTACATTTTCGGTACTTATTAATGGATTTCTTAGGGCGGGGAGGATAAATAATGCAAAGGAGATAATGTGTAAAATGTACAGAGCGGGACTTGCGCCAAACAGCACTTTGTATTCAACATTAATCTACAACTACTGCAAGATGGGAAACCTAAACGAGGCGTTAAATGCTTATGCAGTTATGAACCACAGTGGTCATGTTTCAGATCACTTTACATGTAATGTGTTGGTTTCCACTTTTTGTAGATCCAAAAGACTTGAAGAAGCCGAGTATTTTATGGACCACATGAGCAGGATGGGTCTCAACCCTGACTCTGTTACTTTTGATTGCATTATAGATAGTTATGGAAATTCTGGTGACGCATTAAAAGCGTTCTCTGTGTATGATAAAATGAATAGTCTAGGCCATTTACCAAGTCAGTTCACATACGAGGGTCTATTGAAAGGACTTCTTCTTGGTGGACATATTAATGAAGCCAAAATATATCTCCATAGACTTGGTAACATTCCTTATGCCATTGGTAGTCTTTTCTACAACACAATGCTTACTTTGACATCAAGATCTGGAAACTTATCGAATGCAGTTACTCTTCTCAATGAGATGGTTATGAATAATTTTGTGCCTGACGACTTTACGTACACCAGCCTTATTGCAGGACTATGCAGGAAGGGCAAAATGGTCCCTGCACTTCTTTTGTCAGGAAGGGCAATTGAAAAAGGATTATTATCTCCAAATCCTGCTATGTACACTAGTTTAGTTGATGGTCTTCTTAAGGAAGGACACTCAAAAGTTGCTCTATATATTTTTGAAGATATGTTGAACAAAGGTGTTCTCCCTGATACTATTGCATTCAATGTTCTCTTGGATCGATACTCACGGAAGGGAGAAATGTCGAAGGTAAATGATATCATTTCAACAATGAGGAGTAGAAGTTTAAGCTTCAACTTGGCTACTTACAACATTCTCTTGCATGGATATTCAAAGCGGCATGACATGGCAAAATGTTCTCAGTTATACAATAAGATGATCAGACATGGTTGTGCACCTGATAGTTTAACATGGCACTCTCTTATTCTTGGATATTCTAAGTCTGGATCATTAGATGCCGCGGTAAAACTTCTTAGAAAGATAACAATTGAAGGTTTCAAAGCTGATTGTTTTACGTTAAACGTGCTTGTTAGTAAGTTTTGTGAACGGAATGAGATAAAAACGGCACTCGATCTGGTAAAACAAATGAGTATGTTAGGAGTTACTCCTAATGTTGATACATACAATGCCCTTTTTAATGGATTTATTAGAACTTGTGCTTTTGATGAAGCTCATTGTATTTTGCATGCCTTGTTGGAAAATAGTTATGCTCCTACATGTAAACAATTTACCTCGTTAATTAAGGGCATGTGTAGAATGGGAAATATAAAAGGAGCAATGGAGCTGCAAGACGAGATGAAAACCCTCGGGATCGGCTCCCAAGGTGTTGCTATGAGCGCTATAATTAGAGGGCTTACACGTTCAAGGAAAACTGACAATGCTGTTAACGTTCTTGATATCATGCTTGAGATGCGAATCATTCCAACTGTCGCTACTTTCACGACATTAATGCACACCTATTTCAAAGAAGCTAATGTTGCCAAGGCATTGGAATTGAGGAGTGTAATGGAACAGTGTCATGTGAAGCTTGATGTTGCTGCATACAACGTTCTTATATCTGGCCTTTGTGCCAATGGTGATGTTCAAGCTGCTTTTAAACTTTACGAAGAGATGAAACTAAGAGATCTTTGGCCTAATACCTCTATATACATAGTTCTTATTGATTCATTTTGTGCCGGAAATTATAATGTTGAAAGCGAAGAGCTATTGAGGGATTTACAGACCAGGGAATTGATGTCTTTAGATTTTTGTGGAGGCACTGAAAAATGGAAAGAACTATTGATGATTGCAAGGAAAGAATTAATTCGTACGAGGTACAAAACAAGAAGAAAATATGGTTAGTCACAACAAGATACTTTTTCTTTCAAGAATTTGAGTTGGCATGAAGGATGTTAAAAATAAGAACTCCGATGGCACCATTCATAGGAAGACCACCGGTCGTATCTCCAGAGGGAAACTAAATGGTAGGTTTATTGTATATTCCTACTAGATTCTTGTTGTAGAAGAATGTCTTCAATAGTTTTCAGGATCTGATTCATTTGGCTTTTGGTTTGTTATTCCCATTTGCAGCGACAAATACTACATCAAATTGAAAAAGGAGACATGAAACAGATGGTGCGACAGACTTTAATCCTGTCAAGGTTTTGAAAATTTCAAATAAGGGTGCAAATCTGGGAGCTACAAACAAGTTACTGTGATACGGAGTGGTGAATCCTAGTCATCAGATTTCTGTCCTATATCTAATGGATGTGCATGGGTTCTGAAAATAATTCATCTTGAAATTGCGTAACCTTCTTGCAGCAGCCGAAAGTGCGGATATTTTGAAAGTCCCTCAGTTGAAGGTGATTGAAGAATAGTAAATGTGTGTTTTGATCATACTATCTAGGGCATCAAGATAAATCAGATTTCAACTATTTATTTTTCACGTTTCAGGCACACGATAACATTTTGAAAGGCGCAAAATGCACGACCACGTCTTGTGGTTCAACTTTGAGTATATCAGGAGGTTCTGTCAAGAAAAGTCATTGATGCACCTGTCTTTAAAATTTGTGCTTAATCTTGGCATGCATTGAACAACTTTTGTTCATTTTATTATGTGCTTCCTCAATCTGTGCAGCGGTCATGTATGTTTATTTAATCTTCCTTATATGGAAACAATTGATGGTAAGTAACCTCATGTATCCTCTTTCAGTTGTAATGTGTAGCTAGGTTTACCTTAATGGATGATGTCGAGTGTAGCTCTTGGGTCATATCACCCGATTTGGCGGATACTTCCATGGCAGATGTCTCCTATTATCTAGACAACGTGATCAAACTGTTATTTGAGAATTTATCCTACCACTTTCCAAATTTAATCTGAAATCTTCCTGAAGTAGTTGTTTTTACTTTAATACCTTCGTGAATTCTATGTTTTTTCAAAATGTTTTGTGTTTACCCGATTTTTGGGAATTTTCTGAGATTTTATCAGATTTTTCGGGGGAGGGGGGCCAGGTTATTCGGATTTATCATCGTTCGTTGATCTTTATGGAATTCCTGGCATGAAGGACAAAGTCAATTTTGAGGAGGAAAGTAGTGATATCTTTGGTCAAGGGGAGGTGTTGTTAGATGTTAGGCTCATTTAACAACTGGTGGAAAATTGAACTGACACAAAACTTATCAAGGAGAAGACATCTCAACAAGAGCCAACAATGGATAAGCTCGAATTAAGGCGTCATAACAAACCGGCATGGACCCACGATATTAAAGTGAAAGGTTATGTTACAATCCAATAATAACATAAATGGAGTTTTATATTAGTTTGTTATGATAGAGTAGTAATAGAAAATTCAGTTATGTTAATTTATGTATAAATAAATCTCTAATGTTTTTGAAAGATATCAAGAAATATTAGGGAATGAGCTTTGGAATTTTCCACTAACTCAAAGATGCGAAAAGATGGAGGCATGCAAGTCTTTGCAGAAACCTTATCTGCTTCTATGTTTATCTTCAGAGATGTTTGTTGAGAATGGATTTTGAGTCCTGACATTGCATTTAGTTGATGCTTTCGTATATTATTTTTTTAGAGAATTTTTTTTCCACCTTTAGGGTGTGGCTCACACCACTGAAAATTCAAATTTTTTATCAAGTGTTTTTTGAATATGTATCTTGAAACACACCTTAAAGCATTTCATTCTTCGTAAATCAAACAACTACCTTTTTTTTTTCTTCCAAAATTTGTCTGGAGATTCATCTCCGAAAATAACCTGAACTCCATTTACTTCACATTTTTCACAGAGCTTTTTCAGAAATGAATTTTCGAAAATGTCAAGCGGAAAATTGAATATAACACCACCTTGCATGATCATCTCTCCCACACTCTATATCACTTCAATAACCCAAAGCCCTTAAAAAAAAATTCATTCTCAATTAACTTTTCGACTCCAAATCATCATTCTTATATTTTATCACATCAAAGGGAGCAAAAGAAGTTACAATTTAAGGTAAAGTTCACTCATTTCTTCTCTCATTGTTTGCATTAATCTTCTCTTTGAGTTGAAAAAATTAAAGTTGAGTCGTGATGTGCATATCCAAATTTACTTGGTCATGTTTCAGATGTGCATATCCAGATTTTCCCGCTACTGTGAGTTTTTTAAACCGTTTTTGTGTTTTAATTTGTATTAGATATGGTGCACCCGGATATGTTTCCCAAAACTGTTGTAAGTAATGATTCAAAATTGGATGTAGTGAAGGATGATGCTAAACCAGATGAAGTGATGAATGAAGTTAAATCGATTGTTGTCGAGATAGATGTTAGTCAACATTTTAGAAACGAACAACTGTTTACTGCTCGTTAACATGTGTTTGAATTGGTCCGCATGGAGGCAAAGTAATTGGAGTTTGACATTGTAATCGAAAGGTTTGACAATGGTTAAAATAGAAGGCAAGAATTTGCTATTATGAGATGCGAGAGGAGTGACACGTATGTTCCACCGTCGAAAGTTGAAACGTGATGACACCAGATCAAGAAAAGTGAGTGTCTATTTAAATTGCGTGGATACTGTAAGGTGAATGATACATGGAAATTTAATTTGATTTTTGGTATACATAATCATGCTTTACAAACCGAACTAGCCGATCATCCCATTATATGTCGCCTTAAACCAGAGGAGATGCAAATCATTTCAGACACGTCTTTAATCAGGGTGGCGAAGAAAAACATACTTGCATATTTGAAATGGAAAAGACCTGAAAGTGTTTCAAATATTCAGCAGGTATACAATGTGCGTTATTAAAAAATATGGCGATAAAAGGCCTTAGATCTGAAATGCAACAACTTTTGAAGCTTTTGGATGATAACCATTATGTTTCTAGGTACAGAGTTTGGTAGGACAAAGTCATTGTTCGTGACATATTTTAGACTCATCTTGAAAGTATCAAGTTGTTCAACATATTTCCCACTGTCCTCATAATTGATTCAATGTATAAGACCAACAAGTATAGGCTTCTGCTTTTGGAATTGTTGGTGTTACTTTTATGGAGAAGACTCTTTCAATAGGATTTGCATTTTTAAAATCTAAAAAAGAGGTCAACAGTATATGGATCTTGAAAATGTGCAAGACTTTATTGAAGGACCAAGAAAACATGTCGAATATAATTGTCACCGATCGAGACACCACACTAATGAATTCGGTTGCAAATATGTTTTCTACATCTTAAGCATTACTTTGCCAATATCACATAAGAAACAATGTGAGAAGTCAACTCAAACCCACGGTAAGAAAAGATAATGGATGCATGAAATGGTATATTAAATTCATCCACGAAAGACTTGTGTGCTGCTTCTGTAATGCATTTTAGGATTGTGAGTGTCAGATATCCAAATTTCTTGAAATACATTGAGAGTACTATTCTGGACCAAGTGAATGAAAAGATTGCATGTGCTTGGACCAATCAGGTTAGACACCTCTGCAATACAGCAACTAACATGCACATTTAGCACTAAAGAAATGGTTGAGTGATAGTAAGGGTGATTTTTGTAGAGAGTGGGACGCCGTGAACCAAATTCTCTAAAACCAACACAATAAAATACAAACAACTTTTGGTCGGAGCATTATAGTGTTAGAACACCGATTCAAAAACAACATTCTTTATTCGGACTTGGTTGGCAACATATCTCGGGCGGAATTGAGTTTCATTTTTTACGAAGCGAAGCGAGCAGAGAAGACATGTTTGGATAGTTCGAAGTGTGGATGTACACTTAGGAAGACTTACGGTCTTCCATGTGCTTGTATGATTTCAAAAAAGATGAAGCTTAATCCCCCGATACATATGGATGAAGTCTACAGTCATTAGAAAAGCTCCGGTTTGATGACAATGGTGTTATCAAGGATAGTAAAACATGCATAATTATCATGACTGAGTGGGAAATAATAAAAGATAGATTTTCTAAAATAGATGTCACCATGAAATTGCACATTAAAGAGCAGTCTAGGAAGATTGCATGTCTAGAAACCACATATTTGAAACCTTATTCGGAACCGGTTAAAACCAAAGGTGCCTCTAAAAAGGTCAAACTGACACAATGTGGCAATTCAAAGCAGTTTCCTTCATTCTTTGAGCATGTTGATTCACATTTTCCAGATTTCCCAGCTCCGAAATCTCAAAATGTGTTTACAAGAGTGCTCAAATTAGCAAACCACCTGCTTCACCACCGATGCCGAAAATAATCTACATTGAAGAAATGTTTTTTATGCACAAACACATTTAGTATATTGTAAATGTTAAGGGTGATGCTAAATGCGGTTATCATGTGGTATCTGAATTGCTTCAATCTGACAAGATGTGATTTCTCGGAGACATTTTTTCACTTCAGAATGGCCCACCTCGAGATCCATTTAAACATATCATGTGTATTGGGTGGCTTTCGAAATCGCTATATTTTGTTGTGGTTTATTCGAAACCAGGGTGTCCTATACAAAGTGCATCATTGGAGTGGACAACACATTCCACAAAAGAGGAGGAAACTTAGCCAGATCAATTTCTGGAAAGGATGGAAGAGTTCACCAAATTGAGTGGCCTTGAAAGAGAATCAAATGAGGAAAAGTATAAAGAGGAACTAGTAGTAAATTTATGCGGTGTTGCATCTTTTGGTACATTTTAGATTATAATTGATACACTTTTTTTGAATGTATTGTCGTCAACTTTGTAATATTGATATGATTTAATACATAAGTAATATATATTCAACAATAATGGTGTAAATGGTGACAGTTTCAGTTTACCAATTTTATGGTTTACATTATATGTTTTTGTTTACACAGTTTCTGGTGTGATTATGGTGATAAATTCCTAATAAAAAAAAC